CTTTCTAGACATCAACATTAGACATAAAGCTGCTACAGATGGTAAAAATCATAGAAATATATCATGCAATTATCTGCATATTAAACCTACGCAAGAACATCTGAAGCTCCTAATTCACAGGTATCACAATGTGTCAACAGTTTTGCCATTGCCAAACATCTTATAACCATTTATTTCTTGCAGCTGTTTCTAAGGCACCTTAGAAACACAAACACATCCAGCTCCACATCAGTAAAACTTTACAATTAAGGAAGCTATCCTACACACTATTTTAAGCCTGATAATAACTCCTTAGCTATTTCACTTCTGATCAATTACAACGGAAGTTCAAATAGCAGATGCCTAGGTGTAAAAGCAGTGGAGTTTAAGGATCTTTTTTTCCTTTCTAAAATTCAATGCTTTTTGCCATAACAGTGGCATTTTTTTAATAGAAAGATGGAAAAAGAGACAAAAGCATGTTTTGCAAAAGATGTTTCAAGTCATTAAGATAGAGTGAAAGATACTGAAAGTGTCTATCCAGTCAATTACATCCACTTTCCATCATATAGAAACACAGGGAGAAAGAAGTGTACAGAAAGAGAGAGATGTTAGAAAACCTTTACAAGCCCAAGAGGTTCTGGAATGACCTTACGACTGTTAGTCACTTAAATCAACTGTTAACTAAGGAGTTCAACAGAAATATTCATCTTATCATCTCACCCCAAGAGCAGACAACTGACATGGAAATAAAGCCACAGCATTGGCAAAGCTGCTAGACGTGGGTAAGCATTGAAGCCTATTAACTGGAATACAGCAGTGAGAAAGAATATTAGCTTCCTTCTAAAGTGGGCATGTAACTAACTCAGCCCACAGCAGAGGAAGCTTCACTCCCCAATGCTGCTGTTGCTGCAAAGGCAGGCAGTAAGGGTCACAAAACACTGGCATCCCAGCAGGTTTATCTAGTGGCAAAGGCAAACATCAAGATTTTCAAATACTGCTTCAAAATAGCAATGCTTGTCTAATATTTATCTTAAAACGATAGAGATGAATTTAATTTAAAGTGATGAAAGATCTCACGATGACTATTAACCACTGTGCATGCATTAGTCCCAGTACAAAAGTCCTCCTTGTTTTATGGGGTCAGGAAAGAGAGCAAATCTAGAAGTAGATCTCTAGGAATGCCTGGATCAAAGGTAATTCTGAGTACGTGTGGTTGAACTGTACAGAGAGCTCATGTTCTTTCTTAAAGTGCACTATAAGCAGTGAAATAAGGACCTTTCTTCAGCACTTAACCACAAGTAATTCTCACCTTCCCAATAAAATAAGTTTGCCTTAAATCAGAGCTTAAAGTAAGTACAGGCAATTTGCTAGCAACCAAATACACACACAACCAAATATCCAAACCATTTCCTGCCTTCTTTCCAGAACACACATTAAAGGACCATAGACAAGAATTTTTGAGCCCGAGGTGAAACAGACACTACAGGATAATGGATCTTGTTTTGTTTTCAGTTCCTAGAACTGATTGATTTTTCTGCCACCTACTGTCTTCATTATAACTTTGGTCCTCAGACCTGAAAAACATTATGCCTTCCATGTTCTGCTAAGAGGTCTATCATAACTTCCCTTAAGCTTCTGCTTTCCAGCCTTAAAGTTAATTAAACCTGATAGTAAAGAATACATTTATTTAACTTTACAGCCTGTTCTTAACCCTGCTGCCATTATGCTTCCACCATCAATTATGAAGATTCTGAAGTGGACAAAGGCACTGAGGGCTGCGTGGTGAGATGTGTCACTGAGTAGTTCAGTAGAGAAAGGAGAGCCCTCCAGATGAACATCAAGTACTAATGAAGGCCACAGCACACCTTGACCAGCATCAGCTGCTACATGACACTACTACTGCTCCCTGGCTGCACTGCCCCATGTTACAGATTACTGCCTTCCCTTTCCTGTCAGATTTGGCAGCTGTACAACCGCCATTGGGGTTTCCCAATCATCTCTACTCAAAATAGTTTGAGCATTTCAAAGAAGGTGATGATTAAGAAGGCAGTCAAATAGTTCTAGACTATGAAACACTTTAGAACTGGTTCAGAAGCAGGATGTAAAACATTCCATCATCTGTGAAAATGCAGTCTGCGTTTCCCAACTACAAAGGTCATGTGTTAGAAAAAGCTGTTCTGATTTATGATGTAAATACTACATTTTACTTCTGGTTTCAGTGAGCTTAGGCCTGTTCCTAATGGCAGACCAGTAAGACTAAGAACTAACTATATTATAACTTTGATTTTCCAATTTTGTAAAAGAACAGTTTTTCAACTGCTTTTTTTTTTTCCCCTCATTAAGAACACCAGAAAAGAATAACTTGGGTGCTGGCAGGGTGTCAGCACACCTCCCTAGAAAGGCCAACCACCCATACCAGTTTTTCTCTGCTTTGAAACATTTACATGGAATCCAGGAATTTCTGAACCTATCTTTAAGTTGTCATTCTGTTCTTTTGCTTTTTATTAAGCATGTGACAGAGCAAATAACTGAATGTATCTACTGAACTGACCTCAAATCCCTTCAAGTATTTTGTTCTTTGTTTTTAGATCTATTTATTTAAAAATTAGACCTGAAATATTAGTGTCCCTCCCAGGCATATAGAATATTCTGTTATCTGAGAACAAAAAGCTGCTCCCTACTCATCTGATTTGTTGTTTTGGTCCGAGCAGTATGCCAGTGCACTAGTTCACATTTACCATTAACTTCTTGATGCTTTCTGAAGCTCAAATGACATTACCCTTTAAGTACACAAGGCTATCATCATTCAGAAAGAGGCAGCACAAAAAGTCACTGCATATAAAGCTAAGGTACAATTAAGTAGTTAAGAAGAAAAAAAAGAATTGTGATCAACTTGCTCCCATTCACCCCTTCCGTGCAGAGCCCTGCTGGGGATGTATTGACTCTGACATTCCTCACAACACAAATTAGGATAGCAGGCAAGTTCAGGTCAGAAAGAATTCAGTTCAGGCTCTATTCTTTTGTTTCAGACAGGAGTCCCATGCATCACAAAAATTCATTTATGTCATACTATCTCTTACCGAAGTTTTGTTTTAAGTGATATCCTTTGAAACATCTCAGGCATCACGGACACCCTGCCCCTCCAAATTGTGATGTATTTGTTCCATAAGGTTAAAGCAGTGTGTATAATTGTCATCTCCATTTGAGTTCCAGTCTATTACAGCTGAGATGTCTTCGCTTTTCATTAGCTACCATTAGCTTTTACTGGCTCCCCTTAGTCACAAATACAAACTCAATTCCAGGAATATTTTCAACACAGATACATGTAGTGTAGGTGCACCAAAATAGATTTATTTAAAATTTGTAAAACTGGAATTTAACAACTGGGGATCTAACAAAAATGAATTTTTTATTTATTTATTTATTTATTTTTTAAAAAAAAGGTTATTTTTAGGAAAAAGTTAAAGCTTTTGACAAGAGGACTAAGCTAGCTCTCCTTAAATTGCTACTCCTTTTTTTAATATACAAAGTAAGGTACACTTTACTGCTTTGTTTTACATATAATTTTGCTACAATTTCAAAAAAAAAAAAAAAAAAAAAGAACCACCACACTGTGTGTTACATGTATTTAACAGCTAACTCGTGCTCACATCCTTATTAAGATTGACAGACGTTATACAGAGTATATGCAGGTTATAGTGAATATTTTATTAACCTGACTTCTAAGCTTATGCTACATTCCCATTTCTGAGCCAGAAATGAAACTATGACTAAGACCTTTATTAATTTGCAAATAAATAAAAAGAACTGTTCTGTACAGATTTTGGTCCTGTACAAGATCAGCAGGAGTAAGTTGCTATTATACTCCACCAAGATTTCCACTGCTTTTATAGTGCCTGTATACCTTCCTTACTTCCATTGCGAGTCAAATAATATCCAAGAGCTCAAGAGAAATCGTAAGACATTCTCATGGATCTCCTTTATTTCTGTTTCTGGAAGATGACTTAAGTCTTACTAGGCAAGCAGAATACATAGTTATCAGTTAGAACTAAAGCATCGGGGTATCAAAATACGTAGAAAGCAATTACCACCTGGTTTTTCTTAATTTACAGGGTTTCACCTAGAACATAACCAAAACATAGAAGTGATGTGAGCTAAACACTGTTAATTTAAAAAACAAAGATTTGAGAAGTTTCAAAGATCTTCTGCAGCTTTAATATAATCCATTTTCAACACTGATTATATGCTTGAGAAAATCTGACATTTCCACATGTCTTCAGTCAGTTCGTTTACTTCCAATCTCCTGCTGCTCTCTGATGTTAGAAAAGGTCAAACTTAAAAAATTCCTTAAAATTTATTTAAACAATAAGAGTCAGCAAACTGGCCACAAACCACCACATAATTGCTCTTATTACAGCAGTTTAATCCAATTCAATGAGAAAAAGTTTTGGTTAGCTGTCTGCTATCAAACACATTCAGACAGTTTCAACTCTAATCTAATTGACAGAACATTAAGCTGTCTGGTTCCTGATAGAAAAGCTACCGTACTCAAAAAACTTGTACCTGATTTTATTTAAATATTTTTGAACTGTCTAAAACATTGTCAAACATCTTCCAGCAGGAAAGAGCGCACAAGCATACTAATGCATTGACTTGTTTACAAGCTGTCAGAAAAATCTGTGATTTTAAATATTAAACATTAAGTACCATCCAAAACTTAAGGTAGTCTAGAAATCTCTCAGAATGGAAAGTAAACCCTGAAGCTGAAGTTCCTGCAGCGTTTGCTCTGTGTGTAGTTACCATTGGTGTTACACCTTTTGCAGATATTCATAACACACCAAAGAATAATCTGATAATATGTATCAAGTTAGAAAAAGTTTCTTCACCAGAGAACTTCCACAGAACAAGGGCTTCATTAAAAAAAACTGTTACTGATCCAGCTTTCCCCACACTGCAGAGAACAGACTATTCCAACCCTGCCCTATTATGACCCAAGTACTCTGAGTTACAGATTCCTTATTTCTTGTTTATGTACTTTGTGTGCCTACTCAGTGGCAACTAGATTGATGCATGTTTACCCCAAGAGCAAACTCCTATATTAGATCTGACTATGATAAACTATAACTCAAATCCACTGACCATAGTTAGTGTAATCCCTAGAGAAGGGGCTTTAATAATTTTCTAAAATTTCCACAGCAGCAATATTTTCGTGAATTCCAACCCAGAAATATACCCAGACTCAACTGTATGAATAAACCTGTATTCATCTCTTGAAAATCCCAAAGATATCTGCAGAAAATACTCCAGTTTGGCTGTTTGGTGGGTGCACTGTCTGTTTTGAAACACTGAGACAGAATGTAGGACAGAGGAAATACAGGCAACAACTTCCAAGTACACATATCAGAACCCAACATGAAATGTTGAATTCTGCAAGCATGAGAGGGCTTTGCTCAAAAAGTACAGTTACAAGCCAGGTGATGGTTTGGTGATATTTCAGAAGTCATAGGAAAAGATAAATAACTAATCCATCGCTGAAGGCAGCGTAATCATGGCCTTCTGCAGATACCATCACAGCAGGTAACGTGCACTCGAAACCACTCCAAGGCTGTTCAGTACAAGCCAAAACATGAGGAAACGGATAGGAAGCGAATTAAAAGTACAATCCTAAATTTAAACACTAATGTACACATTTAGATTTCCTCTGCAGTCAGAAGAAAAATTCATGGCCAAGCAGCTTTAGATCTGTAAGGGGCTGAATTGCTTTCTGGAACATCTCTTTAATCTTCAAGAAAAATCTTGAGAGGCTCATAGCTGAAGCATCAACCACAGTGAGGTGCATTCACAATTTCTATGGTGTAGCATCCCAACTGGCCCACCAAGCTTTCCTTTCTCAATTAACATCAGTGTACAGTCTCCCGTGAAGAAGCTGCATGTATTTGCAGGCACGCACAGTCTCCAGATGTTATCACAGATGTGGACAGCCTGAGAATAGAAGTAGTCAGTGCTACAGCTAAATAAGTGCACAATAATCAACAAAAATCGCTGAGAGACAGTGAGAAAGAATCCCAAGCAATAGATGCATTCAAGGATTTCATCCATTCAACAGAAGCTTCATGCCAGGAATAGCAGCAGGGGTGAAGGGGCTGTTTTGTGAGCCATTAACAGCTTGATAACTGTCTTTTGAAATCCAATATACAACACAAACGAGCAGAGCTTCCACCAGTCCACGATGATTATGCTTTTTCTACTAACCATGAAGAATTTTACACTAAGTTCTAAAGCATTTATACAAGTACATAAAAGGGGAATCTATTCACGAACACACCAGCTTAATTTCTGTGCATACAATCTAGAGCCATAGTTACTCCTACCAATTCAGGCTGGAAGTGCCTGTTTTTTGCATTTTGTAACATTTTAAGACACTAAACAAGCTTGTATTTTTAGCTTGTCGTTTGAGGTAGTGGAACAACATCTGTAGTTTATTCCATGTTTCAATTTTCAAACTTCAGTACAGGCCTCAAAACATGAAAACATTTTCTAAACTTTTTTTTTATTTTAAAGAATCATGCACCCTGCCTTACTTTCTCTGAAGTATAATAATGCCCTTTCTATGAGAGAAAACAACTGGACTTCTCTCTTGTGACTCAACTAAAGCACATGTAAATCCCCAGAGAAAAGGTCCTGGCACTGCACAGGCATCACAGTGTTGAAATGAAATGATGGCACCAAGCAAATTTAAATAAGTTTTCAATTAGTTGCTATCGGAATTATTAATTTGGAACAACATTTCCAGCATTGTAAAAGGGAGCTCTCTCCATCTGAGTAACTGCCTTCTCTACTAAAAAAATCTCAGCCATTTATAAATAATGTTTACTACAGCCTTTGCAATACAATGCCTATAAATAGCATCTTCCTTGTCAAAAATCTATCAAAATACACAACCAAAACATTATTAATTGTTCCCACGTCACCAGATTAAAATGCAGACACACAGAAAGAAATTGAATCCCTGCTATAGATGGGCAAGGAATCTCAAACCTCTGACCTAGCAGGCAAATGTCTAAACCACAGGAAAAAAAAAACCTATGGCCCGTTAAACAGAATGACCGCTCCCTTCTGAATAAGGAAACTTGTATGCAGATGTAAAGGAAACTACCAACTGTGCATGCCTGTTCTGTTGCAAGAAAGGCTTTACTGCCCCAAAAAGGAGCATTATCAGTAATGCTGCCTTCAGAATCCATCATCACCACGAGCTGCTGTGGGGCATGACAGAAACTTCAGACCTGCTGTGGTACTACAGCCGTGCACCACATACACACATACTGCTTTATGCTGACGAGCAAGATTCTCAACCTTCTCTCTCCTAGCAGATGCCTTATACACACAGGGCAAAAATAGCACATGTTGTATAATTCACTTCAGCTCCTACATCCCCGTCCCCAGGCCCCACCAACTATAAGCAAGCCAGATCACTGCTGCTTTCCTGTGCAGAAATGTTTTTGGAAGTTGCCATTATACCACAGATCAGGGTTCCCAATTGAAAGAAGAAACTGTGGGAGAAAATGGCAATAAACAGAGCTTGCCCTATGTATTTTCTGAATCAAAGATCAGTACCACACAATTAAATACTGCCAAATTAACTTGTGTAGCAACTGCTAATTGTTTTTTACGTACTTTGAAAACAAATAATTAGTAACAGATAGCAATTAGCACCTCAGGACTTCCCAGCCATTTTTTGTGTCACTGTTTGGCTTTCACACAAAAACACCAAAGCTTAGGAGTGACACTAATAAACAAAGCCTGATACGACTGACTTTTATTGCAAAATTTATATAGACAACAACACTGAGAAGCAACGGAGAACACTTGAGTAATAAAGAACTGCTTTTTGTCCTCAGGAAGCACAGTGTTTAACTTTGCTAATTTATCCCATTCATACTCAAATTTGAAGAAATATTTTGCAATATTAAATGCTCATCTTATGTTGATTCTCTACATTTCCAAGCTCCAAGTGTCATGCTACATTCAGACCCACGGCACAGGCGGGGGTGACCCTGCCATGCCTTATTCTCCCCCTATAAATTCAGTGTGGCATTCAATTCCCTCACAGAAGTCTGTGTGCCCTCTAAATAAAGAGCAGGGAATTTAATACAGCTGCTTGGCTTTTCTTGTTAACATACTATACACAGCTACTATCGATGATTCATTCCCATTGAAGCATTCTACTCATAATATTGCTCTTCATATTGTCATTTCTGCACATCTATTCACTACCAGGGCAAATAGTGCTAAGATAAATAGCAGACAAGTACCAACATACTGTGTTGGAAACGGCTGTAACAGGACATCAAGCAGTGACTTTCTTAGAGTTCAGACATTGCTACAGAAATCCACCCACTGCCCCCAACATCTGACTCAGCCTTCCGTAGGCAGATGAGTTCTCAAGTAAAGAAGTAGTTCATGTATCAGACAATTTATCACAGCTCACTACTACCAGAAAAAGCTGCCATAACCCCACTCATGCAAATATAATTTTTAACTTTTTTTGAATTTTTAATTTTTGTATCCATAAAGCATTACAAAATATAATCAAGGGATGTCATAAGATTTGCAAAGATATGACATTTATAGATGGACAATAATCCACATCCTTCACATCTTTTGTAGTATATCTTGAACAAAGAAAGCCTTATTTAATCTTAATACTGATTTTAATATGAACATAAGTACTATTACCCCCAAATAACTATAAAAATACACAAAGCTAAGCAGAAACCTTGCTACTTCAGGCCAATTTTGTTCAAACTTTAATCAGAAGAATGAACAGTGCAAAAAAAAAAAAAATAATAACAAAAACACCAGGGGATTAAATGAGACAGAAGTGCCCTGAATTTAGAAGGTTTTCCCAACATTCAGTCCCACCACATTTGAACTTGCTTCAGTTTTATCAGCCTGCATGAACAGAACCTACTGTATAACATGTAGCAGCCAGAGCTATAACCAGTAGTCCCATCTTAATAAAAAAAATGAAAAAGATTTTATGGTCATGTGTTAAACTACAGACTGAAATAGTTCTGCTAGGAAGAGTCATTCTAGGACAGCTTAAAACATGGTAAGATTTGTGACCAGTATTTTTGGTTGCTAGTAGATCATGTAGGTGTTAACATCATTAGGATCTTTGCTTCAGGGTTTTGTTTGTTGCCCTTCAAAGACATAGTGATCCACTGTATCTTCAACAATAATCTTTCAACATTAACTCCTTACTGAAAACGGCATCACATTTAAGAGATTACCATAAAAGGACATTTTTTCAGTCCCTATGCATTACTGAGAAACCACACCACTATTTGCAGCATCCTGCAGGAAGATAATAGCTCATTAAAAACAAAACAATAAAGCTGGAGAGCAACCTTATGTACCAGTTCCAAAAGTCATCACAGAGACACACGAGGTCACTTTATAGCCTTATGTCACAGCATTAATCTTTCCATGACACATACAGACTAAAGCAGCTGGGAAAACCTGCAGGCACCACAGCGTCTCCAGTTGCATTACAAGGCCACCAACAGAGTCAATTAATCAGCATGTGCAAAAGTGTGTTCCCTGTAAGTTGTTCTTCTCTATCTACTACCTTATTTGTTCCCTTAACTGCAGGACACTCACATTTGAAGTGTAGCACTGGTGTGTTGGCTTCCAAACAATTTGGAAAGGTGAAGGACAGTAGCGTAAAGGGAGAAACAGCATAATGCAGATTCACAGCTGCAGCTCACTTCCCTTTGAGAAATGGGCCTGAATGCTCTCCTTCTCATGACATTGCAGAGTGCCCCTCACTCATGCACTAACCTCTCTGCCATCTATGCAGACTGCAATCTACAGGAGTTTTTTTCCTTATCTTTTTTTTTTTTTCTCCTCTCTAGCTAGATATGCTAGAAAGATGAAGATACAGCTTTCACTTCAAAGATCCTATGGCCAGTTATTTCTGTTTTCTAGGAGAACTGCAAGGACCACAACGTGATTCTATAATGCTGAGAATCTCTACCAATTTTTAAGAATATATCCAGTGTGGAGGCTGAGGCTATAGTGCTTACCACTGTGTAAGGGGAGGGAGAGTACAAACTCAGCTCCCTTCTCTTGCATGGAAATTAGAGGACTGATTAGAGGATCTGCTTCTGATCCCTTCCACTGATTTTACACAGACAGGTGGCTCAGCTGCATATTTGAATGGCCATATCAGACATCATCTTTACTCACTGCTGATGTAAATCCCTCCAACTGTCTTCTGAAGAACTCAGGATGCTAGTCTGCTAAGACACATGACATGCCATAAAATAAACAGCATTATAACCCTTCAGCTCATTGGAGAGTTGCAGATAGCTCATATAAACCCTTTATTAGAGAGAGTTCAGCTCAAAAGGGAAAAGTCTCAGCTTTAATTTCATGTGAGATTTCCTTCTAAACACTGAAATGTTATAAGACACAATATAAACCCATCAACAGAGTGCAATTAAAGAACTTGAGGCTCATCCCAGTAGGCATAGGTCACAGAGCATTTTTATAGTTAATAGTTTATACTATGTCTTATAAAAGCCAAGAATAAGATAACTGCAATACACTATGCATTCACTGGAATTCCTTATCCTACAAACAAAGCTGCAACAAAGCACATTTCACACACAATAGGTTTACTTCAGCAAGCTACACCTGCAGTGCTCTTCAACCAAAAGAGCTTTGTTTCAATTGCCCATATGGAACTGGGGACTTTGTTTCCTTTTGCTGTGTGTATGATGCAGAGTAGATAAAAACTGATGGATCCTAACTCCAGACACTTTGGACTTAAGTGGACACTCAGGTGCCTATGAGACATAATACACTGCAGAAACTGGATTAGAAGCATAGATAAGTCAAATACATGTGCAGGAAATAAGAATGGCACTGAATGAAGTTTTTGTTTCGCTGTGCTGCTTTTTTTCGGGATCTTTCTG